AACACCAAGATGGAAACTGACAGATAATGACTCTAGTGCCATTCTTAAAATGCCTTTCTATTCGACCCCCAAAACAGTCACATCCTAACACAAAAAGAAGGAGGAAAGAGAGAAAGGGCAGTGGACACTGATGGTGGAATGTGACCCTATGTGTCAGACTATTTACTGCCTTTGTGTTATGTACTGCAAGTTAGGTTCTACGCATTTATTTATTACTTTTATTTCAGAGGTGTGGGTACATGTGAAAATTTGCTATGTAAGCAAATTGTATGAAAGTGAGGTTTGGGTTTCTAGCAAGCCCTTTCTCTTTCTGGTAGTGGACATGGTATCCAACAGGTGGTTGTGTGCCCTATATCCACCTTTCTCCTTCCCAGTGTTTGTTGTTCACACCTTTGTGCTTGCATGTCCAATGTTTAGGGACCACTTATGAGTGAGAACATGTGGTATTCATTTTTATGTTTCTGATCACTTAGAATGATGGTCTCCAGCTGCCTCCATGTTGCTGCAAAGGACATAATTTTGTTCTTCTTTATGACTGCATAGTATTCAACTGTGTATATATATCACATTTTATTTATCCAGTCCACTTTCAATAGGCATCGGTGTTGCTTCCATGTTTTTGCTATTGTGAATAGTGCTGCAGTGGGCCATGTGTGGTGGCCTTAAGCACTTTGGGAGGCCAAGATAGGAGAGTTGCTTGAGCACAGGAGTTCAAGGTCAGCTTAAGCAATATAATGAGACTACATCTCTACAATTTTTTTTTAATAGCTAGGGATGGTGACTCACACCCATAGTCCTAGCTACTCCAGTGGCTGAGATGGGAAGTCCCTTAAGTCCAGGAGTTTGAGGCTGTGGTGAGCCATGATCATGCCACGGCACATCAACGTGGGTGACAAGGTGAGACATGGACTCAAAAGAAAAAAAGAAGGGTTGTAATGAACACACGTGTGCAAGTTTGTTTTTGGTAGAACAATTTTTGCTCCTCTGGGCATATTCCCAAAAGTGGGATCATTGGGTCTTATGTTAGCTCAAGTTTTAGTTCTTTGAGAAAACACCACACTGCTTTCTACAATGGTCGAACTAGCTTACATTTCCACCAACAGTGTAGAAGCATTCTGCTTTCTCCACAGCCTTGCCAACACTTGTTGTTTTTGGCTTTTTTAATGATAGCCATCCTGAGGTGTAAGGTAATACCTCATTATAGTTTTGATTTGTATTTCTCTGATGATTAGTGAAGCTGAGGAATTTTTCATGTGTTTGTTAGCTGCTTGGATACCTTCCTTTGAAAAATGTTAGCCCACATCCTTTGTCTACTTTTTTTTTTTTTTTTTTTTGAGTCGGAGTCTCACTCTGGCACCCAGACTGGAGTGCAGTGGCTGCTCCCGGCCACCGCAGCCTCGACCTGCTGGGTCTGGCGATCCTTCCGCCTCAGCCTTCCGAGTAGCCAGAATTACAGG